GGAAGCCATCATTGGCATGACAAAGAAATGAAACGTGAGGAGATAAATAGGCAGCAAATTCAGAAGGATTGTGCCATATATCATCATTATATTCTGGAAAGGTCTGTCCTTGTTCTTTATGTTCTATAGCGAGCTAATACTGGCTACCCAAACTAAGCTGAGAAATTGTGAGAATCTCAGAAACATTTGTTTTATCTACTTGAGTTTGTGACCTCCACATCTCTACAAGCTATCTCCCCTGGTAATATTGTTTGTCATGGCGCTTGTGCTGTGGAGACACTATGCAAACTTCGAGAGCTAACCTGTCCACCTCACCTCCACCTGTCAATGCTTGTCTATGATCACCTAGCTGGCATGGCTGCGGCACAGGTATGCACTGCCCTACCGGCAGCTGTCAGTGTCACACAAAGCCATCAATCCACATCTCTGCCACTGTCATTCCTGACAGGACTCCGCCAGCCACAACCAGTCAGACAGCTGCACAGAAATATGTCAATTTAGTTTAGCATGCCACACTAATAGACTTGAATTTTCACTTTGCACAAACAGCACACACAACAGGGAAAAGAGAACACTTTCTGATGACAACATGTTAGCTTTAGAGAATCAATACAAGTGATCTTAATAAACTATCAGCCTCTAAGAATAGCTGGATCTTAATTTGTCAGAATCGTAAATGTGTATTTTCCGACAAATATTACATTACATTATATTTTAAAGCCATCATGTATTAGCATGTAGACTGAAGCATATGAATAATACTTAAATGTACAAAACATGTACAGAAATGCAGTCACCAACCTTTTATTTGGTAAATTTAATGCTTTTTTCAAGAGGGACCTGCTTTTATGTATGTAAACGTACACTAGTTCATCCCCAAAGTGTGAAAGGTTGACAAGGAGGATGCATAAATAGAAGTTACAGGCCCATCCTTGTCAATATGCCAACTTCTCTCTGCAGAGAATAATAGAGACATGGAGACCTCATTCTAGCAGGCTTTGCTTAACGGGAAAAATGCCTTGATCTCCAATACCCAAAAAAACGGCTTTATGGGCATTTTGTTGTGTCTTTGAGAAGTTGAACATAATAAGACCTGTATTTTCCATTAATGGGCTGGTTTTTAAACACAGTGATATATGTATATACAAGCTGTTCCAGCTGTTGTGTGAACAATGATAACTACATTTAAGATGATGATAATATGTATTCAATAGTTAAATGAACACACCTTTAGCATAACACCACAAAACCTATTTTCCCACTATAATATTCCCACTGAGCAACTCAATGTATGGGTCTGCAATCTGCTGGTGTCTGCAAGCTGTTGCAAAAATGGATTGAAGCGGATGGGTGGGATCTAATTCGTACAGTAAAAAAAAAAAATCACTTTGCAGGTAAAACTTAATTATAAAAACAGCATCTGTGAAGCCTCTACATGTGTTTTTTGGGGTTTAATAATTTATAATAATACTGTCTAGGACAATGTTAATACAAAAAGTTTGTTTTCCACTCAAAACATTTTATTTTGACACCTAAGATTAGCTAAGAAAAGGATTTCATCTAATACTGCACACGTCCAGGTGGATTACATTTAATGTGTGTAGTCGAGTAAGATGGCAGACAGTTGGTACACTCATAAAAGTTGTTGTAAAACTCACTGGCTACAACCAATATGCTTCTAAACTTGATATTCCTCAGGTTGGCAATAAACATGTTTTTCAGAGGTTCATATGGGGAAGGGGGCTGGTACACAAGCTATTGCAACTCTTCACATACTGAAAACCATACTGTGTAAAGTAGGTCTGAGAAAAGTTGACAGAAAACATGTTAAACACAACGTTCTCCACTCTTTCTTTGTGGTACCTCGGAGAAATGCTTGGACTAAATAAAAATGTTCAAAAAACTTGTCGTTTGTTTATTCCTATGTGCCTTATACCAAGCTGCATTGTGCTCAAAGCAGCATGTGCACTCTGTTCTGCTCTGTTCAAAGCTTAGTGGATCTGACTGGGGAACACAGTTGACATGTGGGTGCAGACACTTGCCCCAGACGGGGGCACTGACCCTGGTGATACCAGCCGAGTAGGTGGCCTGAGGGACCTGTTACTCCTCACAAATGCCTTACAGAAACAAAGTCCAGATGCTCTACCACGCTGCAGCTCTTGACACACTCAGCATGCTGCTTGTGACATTGTTTCATATGCCGCAATAAAAAATATCCTGGTGTGATGAACCATCTTCCTCTATTTTAGAAAGAGGCATTATTTTCGGTTTATTCTACAGTGTTCAACAGTTATTTCCAGTGAAGTAAAGCGATTTAGTAGATGTTGAACATCTGGTCAGTTCTAGAGAATATGGAAATCCACTTAGAGCAAATTAAAACAAATGGGGTGACCGGGTAATGATTTCATAAGCAATTTCCTACATTGGGATTTGTAATACTTCACAAGGAAAACACGTTTAGCTCTGCACTTGTCTCATCTATCAATCATGCTTGTTGAAGAAGTGTACACGTCAGTGCACTCGCAGAGGGTATAATCTCAAGTTTTATCAACTGGGAAATGTGAGAATTTTTTATTTATTTTTAATCAGTTTTCTAAAAGCATTTGTCTGTTTCCCCTCCCCCACCCTGGTGCCATCCTGGCAAAAGCTAAATGAATTAAATTCTCATTAAATATGCATTTCATTGTTAATCATTTGCAAGCGAAGAGGATTAGGTCGCAATTTGTGAAATGACATAAAAATCTATCCCTTCTCAAAAATAGCCTCTTGAAATTGCATTAAACACAATAGTATGATCCATCAATCTTTTTAAGCAATAAAATTAGTAAATCAGTAAATCCATAAAACAGATACAATACTGACCTGTACATAATTCTCATAATACAATGGCCATATGTTTACTCCATCTGCTCGAGCTAATGGATTTGTAAACATAAAAATGTATTATCTATATACCCCCCCCCCCCCCCACTCCCTCCCTCCATGATTCAAATAGGGAAAACAAGAATGTGTATATTAAACTAGAGATGTATTGCACCACTTCAATTAGCCTTTCAACATTTTAATCGTAAAATGAATGCAGAAAATGTTTGGACATGATTAATTGATGGTAAAAGGAATTTTTAAAAGCCTCTTTGTGCATCTATCTTATTTTCATCAACCTTCACAGAAAACACGGGTGATGCTCAGCATGAAATATTGATGTGAAAAGTCTTCTCAAACAACTTAAGTCCTCAAAATATCCGAAGCACACACTGAATGTTGAATTGAACAGAATGGGAGAGAAGAGCCAAGACTCTCAAGCCAAGGCTGTCAACTAGAGAGTGGAGGCACAGAAAAGAAAGATGTGCAACAAGAAAACACTGAATATCCTGCTATGTGGGTTCCAACCTAACAGCTTAAAGAGAAACACAAAAGCAGAACACCAAGCTGCTGTAACCTCCAACCTGCTTCTGGCTCAAATTCATTTCCATTCACAGGATCCGTTTGAAGTGCTCAGCATTTGATGGTCCTTTCTCTGATTACATTTCACAAAGAGACAAGTTAGTACACAAAACGGAACTATTCAAGGTTTAATGAAAATGCGTAGTCAATGCAGGTAAGAACCTTGACAGGGGAAAAGCAGCCTGGGTTTAGCACATCTTGAATTTAAAAGTGTGTGTTTCATTACTGCCAAGGTCATTGTGATCGCGACAGTCCAACGAGCTAGGTGTTGGTGTCGAGGACAATCCCCACTATCTCCAAGGCTGCAGGCAACGTTGCCCATGTCATCCCTAATGTTTTATTCATACAAGTCATATTATGGCATTCAGAAACCGAGATCAAAATCTGCTCTGGCTGAAATTATTTAATATCATACCTACTTCTCTGCCCTTCTCCATCTGGTTAGCCAGAATGAGAGAGAGGGGTAGACAGCCTCTTTCAGCTCAGCCATGTTGGATTATTAAAAGTGAAGCTTTCAAAGAGGTCACTGCTCAGGGAAAAAAAAAAATAGGGAGGGAAAAACTGTAGCATGCATCAATTATCTTGGAGAGTTTGTGGCATACTGAAGACTGTCTTGTCATATTTCCCAATGTGGCTGAGCTACAGAGAGGTCCTTGGCTGGCGCTGACATTTAGAAGCTGGTGAATTGTAGAAATCCCAGTCTGTTTGTCAAAAAAATGGACAAAAGACCACAGTGACTGCTTGCAAAGCCCCTTCAGGCTTGAAATTCCTTCACAATGTCATTGGCATAACTAGACACATGCATCCAGCTCTGTCACTTTAACTTTTCATGTCTGAACAACTGCAACTTATACTAATCAATATGTGGTTTACTGCCATTGCTGGAGGACAACATACTAATTCCAATGATTCACAACAATAAATATAGCAAGCTGCCCTGCAAATAGCCTGGATGAATAACAATTTGCTCTTGTACATGACCAGTGATAAACCAGCAGCAACAGCTTGGCGTGTTAGAAGCCTAATCTACAAAGCAACTTTCAAACTCTTTTATAAGTTGACCCCAGCTTCCTATCTTTACATGTGACCTAAATCCTGCAAGCCTCTGTCAGTTCTATGAGGGCTCAACAAAGTCTTTGTGTTTATTAATGACCACACTCCAATTACTCTTGCAACTGTGAAATTATAACACTTATATACATTGAATGTGTTAAATGTTTAGAAATGTTTAGAAATGTATGTGCATATTACTACAGGAGAGAATGTTTCTGTCTATGTGAGCAAATGTACCATGGAAAAAAAGCAAGCTAAAAGTAGCATAATCTGTCTGTTGTTTGGGAGCATTGTATCGGCTGTGGGAGTAAGTATAAGATTCCTTCATAGCTGAAAAAAGATGACTCCCCCCACTCCTACACATTATCCTGTTCCTTCAGAGTTCAAATCTATGTGAAGCTCCCCCCAGCCCCCCCTTTCCATCCTCCCTGTTCTCCTCCTCATAACTCCCCACCTGCCTCTCCGTCTCTGTCTCTGTGGTGGTGCAGGGAGAAGTGGCATACCTTTGTTCATGTCAATCAGCTGCTTCTTCTTCTGCTGGCGCTCCTGCTTCTCGCGCTCTGCCTTCTCCTTCGCCAGCTTGGCTCTCTTGATCTTCTCCTCCATCTCCCTCTTCTTGTGGTTCTCCTTCACTGCTTCCTGATGAGGCGCACGCACGCACGCACACACACACACACACACAGATAAAATCACAATATGGCTACTGTCACCACCACTCTGTTAGTGTCTTCACTACTGTATAGTGTTCACAAGCAGTAGCATGCCATCAGCAAATTCTTATTCAGAGATTCGTTTGATAGTTAGAGATAAGCTGGAATAAACAATATATCATGCCTTGTGTAGACCTTTTTTAATACAAGCATATTTGTCAGTAAGGTTTCTGCATATTTTCATTAACACAAAAAGCTGATTTGTTGTCAATAATACAACAACATGGCACATGTATAAAAAAGGCTAGATGATCATCACATGTTTTTACCATGCCAGTATATTTCCATATTTTACTATGAGGGGCCCTAGCATGAGAAGTGTAGCAGCAGTGTGCCAGTCTCTGAGGAGGGAGAAAGAGATACTATCCTCCTCCTCCTCCCCCTCCTTTGTGACAGGCTGAAATGTCAGGAAGGAGTCCGAGAAAAAGAGATAATCAACGGTACGGATTCAGCTTTTACAAATGTGTCAGTTTGTTCTTGTGCCAACAAAGAGTAAGATGCAACTGTGTGACCTTTGGAGACAACAAAATGTGCTCTCATCTTAGGCCTGTGGCACAGCGCTTGGCAGGATCCATCATAGGTGTATTTGTGTGAGAGGTCACACTGTATGTGTATACATGCATATGAGCCGGTGTCCATGGGTATCTTTGTGCTTGTGCTCATCCATGGTATCCCCCCCTTATGTATGCGTGTGTGTGTGTCAGTAAGTGAAGGCATGGCGTTGTCTGTGCACTGATATAATAAGTGGCGACAGTTGCCCCCCACCATCTAATGCCCCTGTGGTCCTTGTGTGTGTGTGTGTGTGTCATGTTGGCAGCTAAAAGAGAGGGATTACAGAGATTGTGGGTAAGGAACAAGGAAAGAGCAGCTCATCATGCCAGTCAATAGTAGAGATTTGCTCCGTGTCCAAGGACACAAGCCCTCATTGTCACTGTCTCATTGTGGGATGACAAGGGCAATGGGGGGGGTGGGGGGGTGGGGGGGTGGAGTGAGTTTTGTATTGTGTGCATTACACAAACATAAGAAGGGATGTTTTGCTTTGTCATCTGCTTAAAGTTGGTGACCACTTAAAAATCAACCTACTTTTATCACTGCATCAAGGTTATTGTAAATGATACAGCTACACTCTGTAAGGGATATTGACTGTGTGCACTTTGCTGCAGAGTGTGTAAGAGCTGTGCTGTATAGTCGGTAATGGAACTGCTAACTTGCACATTTTGTTTAAGTGATGGGCAGCACTGGCAGCACAAATCAAATGAATTTCTGTCCTCATTCACTGACAGGACTCAATTCATTTTGGAAGTAATATCACTGCATTGCTCAACATCTACAGCATAACTTCGTAGATAATTTATGTGTATTACAAATAAAATCCTGCAGGCAAAACTTATTTTAAACAAACAACTAATTCTGGATGTAAACATGATTATGCAACGTAATTATGTTGCCCTAATCACACAGCACCACTAATTACCATAGCAACAAATATGTTTTCAGTGGTCTCTTATTTTTCTCTTTACCATTCTCTTTACCTAGTTTGCCTTTGGCAACAACTGATTGTATCAGGTCTCATTTTCTTGCCAACTTTCAATATTGTAGGAAGACATACAAGAGATAAACAAGCCTCATGAGATGCATTTTCAAAAATAATCTTCAGTGCAGGGAACCAGATTTAAACATCATTGGAACATGAGACAAAAGATCTAGTTGCTCTCAAATCTGCTCAAATGTTTGTATGAATTCAAACAATGTTGAAAAATATTTTTGAATGCATCATCGTTTTCTCTCGAGCTCATATATCCAAGATCAAAGCACACTATTTACAATCTGATTTCAGGTGAGCACTAAAACAAGTTACTTTTATCCTTCACACAGTCAGCTGTCCATCAGTGAAGGTTGTCACTAACATTTTAGTGGCACCCAATGAAAGCATAAATATTATATTCAAATGAAAACAATCTACAATAACTCTGATCTTCTAATTGATGTATACAATGTATACATGTATAATAAATATTTAATCCCACTGGCAGGGGCATCTGGGTCCAGCAGGAGTAGTTTTTACAGTATTAACTTCTGTGGCACCACAAACCAATTAATTAAGAATTACAAATCTAATTAATTTCATGGCAAATATTTAATATTGAAATATACAGTTTGATTAGTTTGAGTATGGCGGTTCATTCATTAAACTATTTTCTAGATATGTTGACCATATCTCATTGCCTTTCTGAGTGAATGAAACTTGCTCAAGTGTCCTAGGTACATAACTTCAGTCTGGCGATAACAGGTAGTTATATTATTGATTTTAGTTTCTGAGGCTGATATTTTTGCTTAAAGTCTAAGAAATGTTGGGAATAAGAAAGAAAAAAATGAGACCCAGTTTATTTTTTTTACTAATGGCTACCAATTACTGTAATACAGAAATGCACTATAGGGAGGATTTTCTTTGCAAACTAAATCATCCAATTACAAAGGTTTAGAAAATGGATAACAATAAAATAGAGAATGGGGAATTGAATAAGAGATACAACAAAAAGACTACAGTCAGAAATGTAGTGCGGCACTTCAAACTAACCCACCCCCCACATGATATTATCTCCCATGGTAGACAGTGTCCTTTGTGGCCCTCATTCTACATAATAACTACTTAAATACAACTCTGAAATCCTGCAGTCCAGAGGCCATGTTTATGACAGGCTCTGTGCCCTGATCCCCTCTGGTGTAAAGTAGGAAAATCCAGTGCAAATACTGTGTACATATTGCACAGGGGGTATGTAAATTTAGAGGAATTGGAATCATCTCAAAAAGACATAACTAAATGCATGGTTTTGCATAATAACACCTTAATGCCGGGTGTTGTCAGCAACACTATTGATGCAGCACATTCTTGCTTTTCAGGCTCACAGAGAGTATGTCACACTTATGGCCTCCAGCCTGTCTAAGAGGGAGATTATAAGTACTCCTCTATCTATACCTGGCTGGAAAAGTGAATGCTGTGCAACCCCCAGGTCCAATCCACCAACAAGGGCAAGGCAGCATTTTTCCCCTTCCAGGTCTGTTCTTTCAATAATTCATGAAGTGTGTTTGCTGTTCTTCCTTGACCCTGCACAACGCAATACATCTCCCAGAGCATGGCTCCCCTCCCATGCATACAAGTTTGCCAGTCCAATGAGGGAGCAATGAGTATTTCCAACTGCTCAGTTGCACCAGTGATCTCACACAGAGAGTGGCACTGCTATATCTCATTTGAATTTTACAAACACTACAGCGCCTGGGCTATAAGCAGGAAATGTGTTTATTAGCCATCTGTTACACTGTTTGCCAGTAGGTGGGGAGAAATGGCTTCACAAAGTTATAGGTTACAGATTGTGAGACTTCTGTTCTGTGGTATAGACATATTCCCATACTGATAGGTGACCTCCAAAATCTGGTGCAATGGTTTTTATGACTGTCACGCTAGTGTAAGTAAAAATACAGAGGAAACATGAAAGTGATTCAGCAAGAAGGTGGGGAGAGTGGCACTGTCAGAGCATCATCTTGAGCATTATCAGCATGATTATGATAATTTGTCATATCGTGAAGGAATTAGCAAGCTTTAGAAAAATCAAATGGGCTCAAAAGTGGATGGCTGCACCCACACACACAGGCACACTCACAAATCATCATTCTAATCTCATAGATGCTCTATCTTGCTACTTTGTGAACCCGGTCTGGGTCTTTTGGTCTTATTAGAAAGTCACTCAATTAACAAGGAAGACTGTTAGCTCATCCCAGCCCATCTGTTGTGCTTTGATAACTCATTAATGGAAAAACCCTCATCCCCCATGCTCCTGGTCAGGATTACACATACAGACCCTGCGATTGCATTTCACTCATACTCTATTTCAGAATATGGCAGTCGCATTAAATTAACAAATTGTTGGACTCTTCGAATACTGACTCCATGTGCTGAAATCAAATAATATTTCATTGGCCACAGAAAGAAAAAAGAGAATGGGACGGGAGTGAGGGAGAGAAAGAGAATGAAACAGAAGGAAAATAGAGTTAATGGATTCTCTTATCAGTTACATTCAGTTCTGTGAGGACTGTCTGTCAATGCGTTTACTCAAATGCCTCATGTCGGTCGGGTGCATTAAGCCCTTGCTTTTTAGTAAAAGCAATTTAGGGTGACTGTATTGCAATGGAATTCTTTAATACTGCGGGTGCTTTGTGCTGTGAATGCATTACACAGGGCAATGCGACATAGAAGTTAGCGAAGATGTTTTGTCTGAGTCAAACAACTCAATGTCTCAATATTGAAATAAAGGGAGGCATTGCAGGCATATCAAGCAGTTAAATTCAGGGGTCTTTTTTTTTTAATTATTAGCTGCCAAGAAGTCATGGTGTTCATTAGATTTGCCATTTGGAACAAATCAGTAATGGTTGATGTAGGTCGACTTTGTCAGAGATAAATGACTAGCAGACATTTCCCTAAAATTCCTTCACTGACAAGAAAAGCTGAGGATGCTGCTGCAAAGGAGCTAGCTCAGTTGTTTTCACAGGGTAAGAAAAAAACTCAACAACATTCAAGTAGAAACAACCATTGAATCCTTGTGCTCTGCAAGCAGATGGGATTAGCCTTTCTGTCAGCAGAGCTGAGGAGCCAAAAACTATAAATAATATCTGAAGAATATGGTGATTAAAGGATTGTTTTTATATGAATACATTAACTTATAACCACCACCACCCCCACCCCTCCCAAACCCCACCACAACACTTTATCCCACTCACTTCCCTCCCCTTATCCATAGCAGGAAAGTTTAAATCAGTAATAAAATATTCATATGTAGCTATTTGCTTGAGAGAATAATTTATTTTCTTGGGTGGATGCCTCTTTTAGAGATATGCAACTTTAGAATCCTTGAGGGAGTGTTGTGTTGTGTGCTGGTGTACTTTGATCAGTGGGAATGAAAAGTTGGTTTCAGATGGGGATCAGAGTAAAGAGAGGAAAAGGATTCAGACAAGGGGACCTTGGCATTTACATTAATGGATTGTGAAGACTGAGAGCATGCCTTCTGGACACCATGTCATCATCCTGACACCGGGAAGTTTTGGGGCAGTGCCAGGAGGGTTGGATAGACTGTAGAAGGTGGGAAAGCAAAGACACTTGAATCAATGTTTAACAGACTTGTGTACTCCGGAAAAAAAGGAACTCTCAGTTTGTTCTGTGATGATGTGGCGTTTACCTTGTCATTATTGTTATCTCTTTAAAAACAAATCTTCTTTTCCCCATGTGCTCTATTTACTGCTCTCATTAACCACATTTCCTGTAACAATGGCAAGCAGCAGGACATTTTTGTTTCACTTTTATCCAGTACTTTTACCTCAGTAGTCATTATTTTTCATTTGTTTTATACTTTTATTGTAGTCATTTAGACAAAAATACTGTAAATTGTGTAGACATTATAGGGAATACATACATACTATTTTTGTGTTCCATAATTGTAATTTTAGTAGATGGAAATATTACACATTTCACAAAAATCTTGTCTCAGCCATACACAAAATAATTTTAAAGTCTCAGGAGGATAGTGAAATGCAATTTCATCTACTTTAGGACTTGGGAATATTAACCTCTTCTCTAGATTCATTAGCACTAACAAAATCCAGCAAGATCTGCAATGCGCCATAGTGACAGCACATGCACACACATACACACAGGCAGAACAGCTTAAGAAACTTGCCCAAGCCTCTTTTATCAGTAAGACACTGACATTATACCTTCTTTACTTCTCAGCATTTCTACTTTAAAATAATATATTCTAATCTGTTTTATAACTTTGTTCTTTCCTCACAGGTCCCAGGTCAGCACTAGATGTTCCTTAATCAGTACTAGTAGGAAGAAAAAGTTCATAAGTGTCTACTCTACTCTTTAAAAACAAAAGCCAAGTTATGTTAGGCAGATTTAAACATCTGACTCTCTATATACTCAAGTAAATGCCATTATACTTGTATCCACTCCCCCTCCCCGCAAGTGGCTAATCCTTTCTTGCCAGGCCGTAAATAATAAAGTTGTTAAATAAAGGTTTAATAATAAAGAATAAAAATAATTAAGCATTTTTGTTTCCCATTTGGATGTAGCATATACTATATAACATTATGTACTGTGCAAATTCATTTCAAATACACTACACACTAATACAGTAAAGTACCATAAATAAAATATAGTTTACTTCAAATTATAGCCTAAACAGTATTGTGCGGTTTACAAATACAGCAAAGTGCAAATAGGCTACTGAGCCAAGCTTCAGGTTTCAGTGCATTTCTACATTTTTAATGGGCCTGAAAGAACACTGTCAAGCTATCGTCTAACTGCTAGAATTCATAAAACATTCAGATTTTTTTTCACCCACATGTTGTCATGTATGAGAAGACCCATAATGAACCCCCTGCACAAGGACTACATGATTATTATAAGTGAATTACTTAATTCACTGATTCTGTCCCAAACTTTTTGTTGCATATATGCAGTATTTGTTAGCAATAATAACTTACCCTATGAATTTTGTTATATTATTACAACTGTGTTTTACTATATTATCATTCACTATGCAGTTCTTGAGAAATACATCAAGAAGTTACAATAACAATTTGTTATAAACTATTTATCACATGTTTATTTTCTGATTATAAACACTTTGGGAGTATTGTTATCAAGAAGAAACCTCTATTTATAACCTTTCAGACTAAGATGGCATTGAAGAAAATGAAAAAGAAAAACGTCAGTGACAAAAAAGAGGTTATGTCAGAAAAGATCTTTGGCAGACACAGTGGCATTATGACCTACTAAAAGATGACATATGGAAGGAAATCACACAGCAGGTGAGTGCAGTTACATTCTTGTGGAGAAGAACTTAAAAGAAGTACTGAAAAGCATGTCAGGGCCAACCAAGGGAATATAAAGATCAAAATAGGTGACCAGAAAATAAACAAGCTGAGGAAAGAATGTGAAATCACCCCAACAACTGAAACTGATTGGCTCAAAAGCACACATTGTGAGGTAAAATCAGATGACTGGGAGGTAAATGTTTGTACCCTCGTTGCTCACGTCCAGTTTACAGTTGTATAATGACTCCTGTAGATCTACAAAAAGAGCTGTACAGTGACATTGTTGGAGTTACCTCAGCTTGAAAGCATGGGGGGACATTATAACAGAAAGCCAACTTTGGAGTCGGGGTTTGGAAGATGTAGGTAGGCATTTCTATCAGGCAGGAAGGGTTCTGTAAAAAGCTGTGAATATGTTTTATTATGGGGAGTGAAGGTTCAAGTGTTTTTAGAGCTTGACTGGCACTAAGGACTAAAATCTCAACCACTGCTGCTTCAATTCTGACATTTCTTGGCCATGCAATACCAAATCACTTAAGTACCCTTTTAACATCCAGTTTTGCCAGTTTGGTATCTTGGTGACTCGCTATGCACCACAGTGGGAGAAGGCGCGGCACAGTCTGTAGCAATGCCAATCTAGCAGCGCCCTGCCATCATGGTGCCAAAAATTAAAATGTCTTGTGTGGTCCGCTGCACACCTTCTCAGAGCAGCACAGCATACTGTTTTATTGTTATTATGCTATGGAACCAAAAATGTGAGCTGCCGGGGCTGAGTCGCTCTTTTTCAGGGCTTGTCTGGTTTGGCAACGCCGGTTAGCATCATCTAGGCTTTAGTTATCTGGAATGCTACAGCCAATTAGAGGAATAGTGGTGAGTCTTCTGGCAAAGGATACTGAGTAGGTGTAGTAGATCAAAATCAGAATCAGTCTACTCTCTCCTGTAAATCGCATGTTGCTGTTTTCAGTGAATGTTACTAATTCAATTTGACTGTTGTATTTGAATTTTTTGAAATAAATCTGAGCAACCTGAATTTATTGTTTATTTATTTTTTTATTCTTAAACTTAAAGTTTTGGATTTAAAATTGTGAACATTGACTATATATACGATATTCAAATTGAGCTTTAGGAACTGCAAATAAAGAAATTACATATTTTAATTTCAAATAGGTGAATTCAGAACAAATACATTCAGATACATTATTTCCAAAGTAAAATATTTCAATTCTATGTATTGAGCGGTGTTTAAATTCCAATATTTGGTATTCGGTGGCTTTTAAAATTTGAATATGTATGCCCTTTATTTGCTTCCATAGTAAATAAGACAAATGTAATTTGATTGAACTTTAAAAAATAATTTTAGAAAACATGCAAATAGCTAGAGCACATATTAAATTCATTCATCTTATTTTCATCTTATTTATGGCAATGCGGCGGTAGTTAACTGCAGGCTGTTACTGTATAGATCTCTGCAATGACAAATATAATGTCCCACTATTATGCATTGAAAACATGGTGACCACAAAAATGAATTCAACTAAAAAGAGGTACCACATACTCTTGCAAGTATATTTGAGCTACTGTATTCATTGAAACTCTGAACGTCACAGATAACAATGAGTTTCCTCTCTGCAGGTGTGAATCATGACAGGGAGAGCCCTGTGGTTACAGGGGATGAAAGTAGTGAATGTGATTGGCTATGATTGTCACAGCCTCTAACGCACCTACCTATAATGTATGGTAATGTATTCTTTCTGATCTTACCCGTGCCCAAGTGTGCCACAGGTACGCTAATGGAGCCTGGCCACGAAAATTACCAAGAGCATGCTTGGCACGCTTCCAACACACTAAGCGGGGCGCACTTGGCTGTGAGTTCCCTCTGCTGAAAATATGTCCCCGCACACGAGTTTCATCCATAGAAGTATAACACTGTAATGTTCATACATTTTCACCATCAGTCAGTTTCAGGGAAATGTGTGCATGTTCAACACAAATTCTGTTCTCATTTCAATGACATCTAATGTGTATAAGCAAGAGAAAGTGTATGCAAAAGAATGCATGTGTGGGTGGTGGCTTCTATTAGTCTGTGTGTACTTTGAAAGAACAGTAAAGATGACATATATAAAATATATACTCACCATGAAGAGGATGCGGAAGTTGGCCAGTTCTCCGAAGAAATCCTCCACACTGACTGAGTGGGGGTCAAAGGCAAAATAGCTGCCAATGCTCTCGTAGAGCTTTTGCATGTTCTTGTGCATCGTGGACAGTTTTTCATACTGCTCGCGGGCATGCTTGCAGAAGCCGTGAGGACAGAGTCAAGGGAAAAGGAGATAAACATGTCTCAAATACAGACAAAACACACTTAAAGTCTACTGCAATCAGCAATATGACACCTCACAAATATGTTCAATTGTGAAAACACAAGCCATTTTGAGAAATGATCACTTCGCAGGCTTTATAGTATTCAAAAAGCCCACCTATGTCAAGGTCAGAAAAACAAAACCCTGGATAAAGAAGGGTCAGAGACAATCTAATGTGCCATTACAATAACCTCTCCAACTCACTTTGGAGTCAATGCCATGGTGAGCTAATAGCTGCAGCCCTGGAGTAATGGAAAGGTGTTTTGTAGTCAGCAGCATGACACAGATGGTTGCTGGAAAAGCTGATTGCAGTCATTGTTCTATTGTTTCTCCAAACAACAGTGGGGTCAGGTTGTTTTGAACCTCACAGCTCACGTCGCACTGTGTAATTTACTGAACAGGCAGAGCACTTTTCTGCTGGTGAATGGCTATTGACAGGCGGCATCAGTTAAGCATTATCACAGCAGCCACTGACCTCATGGAGACTGTGCTTGAACACTTGGGCTCACACACCCTGCGTGGGATGAGGATGATACAACTTCACACAACACACACATACTGCATACACCAACATGTACATGCATGCATGTACCGCAAACACAGAAAAAAACAAAAAACCCACCACACTGTATCAATTCCACCAGTACTGGTTTCAATGCATCAGCAATGGTATCCAACACCTGCAGTGTCTTTAATCATTTTCATCTTTCTTATTTTTAAACAAATCTGAAAACAAATCTGTTTGTATTTTTATAGCCCTGGCTGTCAGTTATTGTTTATGATAGCGCTGTACAGTACTTCCAAGTAGTTAGTGAGATTTCATGGCAACAGAGCAACAAACATGGGCAGTCAGGTGATCAAAAAGGTAAAAAACAAGCAAGAGGTTTTGCCTCATTACCACTACCACTTTATTTTAGGTAAAACAAAAGGGAGCATCCCAGTAATGTTTCTAATAAGTCTTTATTGTACAGAAAAAACGTGAGTGTGCATATATATGTGCCATTGGCCCTTGTTTTCTCTTACAAAGAAGTTTGACTAACCTATGGGTTTGTCATTGCTATACTATGTTTCGAGATTTGATCAAGTGATTTGGTGAGTACAATGCTATCATTGCAGATAAAACTGATGGCCAGAGCAAACAAATTAAATAAATAAATAAAACCCAAAATGTACTAAAACATAGTTTTCATAAGGTTTTTGTGTCACTATCTGTGTTTTGGACAGCCTGCCACCACAAATCAGTTTTTTTGGTATATCCAGATTGATTTCAGAAAGTCTGGACAGCAAAAGAAAAAAACACATGGAATGCAAATCGATTTTTGCAAATCCAGACCCCTGGCTGCTCAAATCGGATTTCAAAGTGTCTTTTGAGTCACTGACACTTTGACTGGAGGCTTCTGTAAAGGCAAACCTAGAAGTTGGAAAGTTGTGTCACCAGCATACATACATAGTTACTGATTCCTACATTGTTACAGCAGCAGCCCAACCAGATAGGTTGGTAATGTCTGGAAACACACATCCGATCTGATCACTTTCAAATAAAAGTACACACAGTCTGTCTTGAGAAATATATCTTAATTTATCATAAATATATTGACACAGTTACTGTCAAGCAATGAAGAGAAGCAAGGCAGCCACTTCTGTGTCACGGGTACAGTTATAGGCAATTAGTGCTCATATGCAGGCGCCTTGGCAACATACACAGGCTGGCGGTACAGCATGTGGCCTGTGATTGTCAGGGCTCAACAGTTATCAAGATATTGTTCTTTCTGAGCAATCTGTCACTATGATGTGAAAGCCACTATTTTTCTACAATGCCATTTATCTGTTTGTTTGTTCTGTCATCTTGGAAGACATCCATGTTGAGGTCCATGGATTGTTCTGTGTCCCCAGGCAAGTTATTAACTCACACTTTTTGGGATATAAATAAAACATTCACATGTGACTGTATGTGTGTGATGTGTTTGTGCTCACACAGTACATGTTTTCACATGTAAGCATGCATGTGTGGAAATGCCTTTGTGTAGCTCAGAGAGAATAAAAGCACTGACAGGGTAGGCTGGTAGGATTACCTCCTTGCAAGCTAGTTTTTACCGAAACAGCGATGGTACAGTCCAGGTTAGCAGCAAGTCCACATGGGCCTGGTGGATGGACTCATCTTTCTGTCTTTCCTCTTCCCTGTCTCTATCTCCTTGTCTGCCTGGACCTGATTTATCCCCCCTTGCTTCTGCCAGACTGCCTTTATCTCTTCTTTTGTCCACCTCCCCCTCACTCCACTTGTGTGTGAAAACTCAGGGGCCTGACGGGTAAATGTAAAAGTAAAACTTTGCCAAAGAAAGATATCTTTTCAAAATCCATCTGACATAGTTGTACTGTATTGGAGTTGTATTTATTCGGTAAAGTCTTAAAACAATCCTTGTAAAGAAAAATCCCTTTCTAAGGAAAAATCTAACATGAATAACGCCATATGGTGCACATTTAATAGTGAAACTGAACCTCAATGCTTCACTCAAAAATACTACTGCAGTCAGTTTCAAGTGCTACACTGAGCTTTATTTTAAATGTCTCAACAATGCCTAATTGGTCAAAATGAAAAATTGACTCCAAAGGATGAAATGATAATTGTAAAAAAAAAACAAAAAAAAAAAACATGGAAAGCATGAATATTTATAATGCTAAACTGAAAACAAGGATCAGCAACAGGTTCATGCCAAAAGGCAAGTCAAATATTAATGTGTCAATTTAGCAGCAATGGACATGCTGGTAGTAGTCTGGCATGGAAATGGTTATTAACAGTATTTAGATAAAATATTCATTCCACTCTACAGCACTAGAGTCCACAGTGCTTTTAGCTCAGGAAATGTTCAGGCCACCATTGTTGCCTCCCTTGTCGAATGGTAGTTAAAAATCATTGAGGCAGTGGTTACTTTTGGTGCTTGTTGTGGCTTGTGGCTCTCTGCATTTCGTTTTCTCTCCTTCTCCTCTCTCTCTCTCTCTCTCTCTCACACTCACACACACACACACACACACACACACACACACACACACACACACACACGTATGCACATGCACAGTGGTAGATGTATCCCGACGGGGACTGGACTGAGGCTGGCTGGGCTTTTGCTCCTTGTATTTCCACATCAAAGACATGTCATATTGATGGAGCCTGACGCACACTATCCTGCAGCCGCACAACCGGTATGGTAGAGGCTTCATCAAACACACATACTGACACAGAATGAACAGGCATGCACGCACGCATACACACACGTGCACACACACACACAACCATTTTTTTGTCTCTGTCAGTTTGTCCATTACTCTTTTCTTTCCCTTGGTTTCTCACAGTCATTGTAGCCTTCATTGTCTCTCCTTCTCCAAAGATAAAGCTTTTTCTATTTCTTCCTGTCTACCACTGTCTCTTTCAAACACATTCCCTTTATAATTCTCTTTCTACATTTCCCCCTTGATATTCTCTCCATTAAAATCTCTCACTCAAAGAAGAACTCCCTTCTTTCTCTCCTACTCAGAGTGAACTTTCAGAAGTGTGCTGTCTGAGCCGTGTCTGCTGTTCACGTCACTTGGGCTTGAAGTAGAGAAGGGAGCAGAGGCGATGGGTCTCAAGGTAAAGCATCATGCAGCCTTTGGTTGCCCCATCTCTGTTTGTCAGTCTCTGCTCTCCTCTCCTAGCAGTCCTCAGAGAAATGCTACCGCCTGCACTTCCTGTGCACTGAACCTCACCAACGCAGAGTAAGACAATTGCTCCAGGGCTGGAGGGCTCAATGTTGCAAATGTGGACGCTAACAAAATATCTGTGGAGTGCTTACTGGATTTTATTCTAATGGTCAAATTAGAACATTTCATTTTGCAAATACAGGCATCTCTGTGCCTTGTCTTTGTTGGATTTCTTCATAGCCTTGGAATTACTGTTTTTAACGACTGAAAACTGAAGCCAGCTCCACTGGACAATAAACAAGTATAGTTCAAAAAGGGCTTGCAAAAGAGCAGAAAGTCACTAAATATATCACACTAAGGTTAGGCGTACACAACATCAGTTTCTGACACAGTCATATCTGACAGTGTTGATTTACAAAGACAATGTCAGATGTCAAATGAGATGTCAATGGCAGTGCTCTGCTAGTTTATGTTTTTATAATTCTCTCCCTCAAATCTCCTGTTGTTGCCACCCTGTCCTTGTGAAAATACAGATTTAGTTCTTTGTCCGGCCAGTGTCCTCATAACTGTGTTTAATCAGTCACTTTTTATCTGTGTGTTTGATGTGCCAGAAAGGGTACATTTAACATCAGTAAGCTGTGATTAAGGGCGCCCATTATTAACACCACAAAGTGACATCAAAATCATATCCAAGTCAGACTTATCCTAGATCCTAGAAAAAAAAAAAAAAGACTCCATTAAATTTTAGATAAATCACAATAAAGGAGAGGAGAAAATCCATTTATGAGCCAAAAGAAAGTTAAAACAGTTTTCACAATGGCCACCACATGAGGAAGACAATAAATTACCTGGTTTGTTTACCTGTGTGCATGAGAGAGTTATTAAAGTGCTGCATAAAACCCTACAGCAGGGGCCCAAAAAGCCTCCCTTATAAATCTCCTGTAACCTAGTTGCATTAATGTTTATTTAATGCTTTTTCTATGTGCTTGCTGGCCCCTCCATCCAAGGCCCCACACTAAGCCTGCTTTCCTCCAAGCCCCACCATCCCTGCTCCCTTTATCCCCACACCTACTGCCAACAGCCCCTGTGGGCCAAATTACACCAAAGCTGCCCACTGACTGGACACAACCCATCATGTTGAGAGTGAGAGCGGGATGAGAGAGGGATGAAGGAATGTAGTGCACTGGTAGGGCAGAAGGGGGGAGGGAGAGGCAGAGTGAGCGAGAACACAGAATACTAAATGTAAAAAGTAATTCTAGCTACTCAAA